CATTGTTTCCGAGTCTTCCTTCGGGCATTGTAAGTTGTAAACAGTTTTGTTTTCTTGAAAATTGTTTTTAAAATGTTTTCTAGACCCGATTGGAAACAATCCTCTTAGTTTAATTAGGAAATCCAGATTTTTTTGAGTACTTTAAAATTACAGATTTTCGAGAGGATAGTGTTGTTGTTGTTGTTGTTGTTATTGTTATTGTTATTGTTATTGTTATTGTTATTGTTATTGTTATTATTATTATTTTTGTCAATGTTATCCTGTGTCCCACCCATGTTTATTGTTATTGTTATTGTTATTGTTATTGTTATTGTTATTGTTATTGTTATTGTTATTGTTATTGTTATTGTTATTGTTATTGTTATTGTTATTGTTATTGTTATTGTTATTGTTATTGTTATTGTTATTGTTATTGTTATTGTTATTGTTATTGTTATTGTTATTGTTATTGTTATTGTTATTGTTATTGTTATTGTTATTGTTATTGTTATTGTTATTGTTATTGTTATTGTTGTTGTTGTTGTTCTTGTTATTGTTATTGTTATTGTTATTGTTATTGTTATTGTTATTGTTATTGTTATTGTTATTGTTATTGTTATTGTTATTGTTATTGTTATTATTATTATTTTTGTCAATGTTATCCTGTGTCCCACCCATGTTTACACCAGTGTTTTTTTTTTATCTGATGTGGCAGTATAAGGTATTATATAATTTTTACACTGTCAAGACAAATGGAATACCGACACAATAGGGAATTTCCGTTATACTAGGCCAAAAGAATGTACAGTGATCTCAAGTCGCACTCACTTAATCTATGAACACTAGTAGAAACTCTCTGGCATAATTTAGGAAGCTTTTTTTTTTATCCCCTTTGCTTTCAAAGTAGCCCGTTCATACCAAAACCAACAATTCGGCCTACATCTAATAGGGAGAAAATACGAAGATAAATATCTGATTTATACCCGCAGAGTTCACCTTCACCTCTCATACACATATTTACAGCAGTACAAGGTATTGTATAGCAAGCCAGTTCACATTTATTTTATCATTTACAACTATATACAGCTGCATACCTTATGTACAAGTTTCACAATTTAAAACTATAGTTTATTATTACATAACATAACAATTATAAGGGAAGAACTTGGTGTACACGGAATAGGTTTCATTACATGGTTCCAGTGTTTTGGTTGGTCGATACAAACTTAATAGTATTATCTATATAGACACCTTATACACAAAATGAATATATTACAGTACTATATTTATATCCTTTTATAAAGTACAATAAAATTGCTATCATTGCTGTCTACGCTCGTTTTAATTTGTTTTGGTTTCAAAGCAAACTCAACAATGAAACCCCAAAAGCTCTGAATGTATGACAGAAGATTTTATGGCATACAACAATCACTCTCATCACACGGTATCTTCACGAATAGGAGTTTTTGACAAAAAGGGTTGAATTATAGAGGGCGCTACATTACGATACTTTCTAAGTCCACGAGATCAATGAAGCGGAACGACTGACTCATCGCTACGGTAGCGAATTTTTCGGTACTGGAATACGTGTAGTATATCAGATATTACAGAAAATAGAAGACATATTTTTCGGATTCAAACTAATTACAAGCTACATTTATATGTATTAAACCATACATTAAAATCACACTGTTTACAAAAACCGTTTACTCGTATTTTTTGTTGTATTTCTGGGGCTTATCATTCAGAGACGATATAAACAAACAGCGCCACCACAGAACGTCGGGGCGCTAAATACGAAACTTATTATCGTCTGTAACACACGACATAGGGCCCGTTTACGAACTTTCGAAAACCGGATAACTCAAGCCTGAGGTGATAATTAATCATTCCTCAACTAGCTATAATTACTAAAACATCTGGACTTTCCGGGCTTATCCTCTTCGGATAAGTTTGGAGGGTTGGAGGTTGCCTCGGGCGCAATAGCCCACAGCATGGTGTCAACTGACCTTAATTTTATGAGAAATCTATTCAGATTAAGCCTTGAGTCCGCAATTTCTTTTCATCTATGCCTTCGTCCAGTGACATCGCTAGAGAGTATTCCTCACTTAATAAATTATATTATCCAATTTTTAAGTCGAAATATTAAGTTTATTTTTACAACGATATACCCCTATATACAATGGCTACAGCTGAACAACGCCGTTTATAAAGAAATCTTATCTTATAAAGATGCGGGAAATGGGTTATAACTTTACGCACGCACAGATAGAATACCAAATGCAAGAACCTGCGCAAAAAAATACACCCAGGAAAAGGACTCCAACGGGAAGTCACGACCCCCCCCACAACAGAATGGCCGTATTTTGAGATGATGAACGAAATGACCCATCTCTTGTCCCCCACAAACTGTTGACACGTCGTTGTCGGCTCTGAACACCAGTGGAACTAGTAGTAGTAAGTCCGTAGGCTATTTTATTTTCCTTTGTTTTTTTTGTAATTTTTTTTTTTATTTTCCCAGTTGGCTAGGCTCTAGTTTCAAAGGCCTGGGTTTTTTAGAATTGGTTGGAGTACAAGCGTAGGCAAGGCGAGGTAATTCGTTGTTGAATTGGGCTAAGCGGTGAAGTGTTTGTTTTGTTTTAATACATGAAAGGCCCATACCTTACTGTCCGTATCCGAATAACTTGGATTCGTAAACGAGCGATCTAATGACCTACCCTCTGGGCATTATGTCATTTTTGACTTATCCGGTTTCGTTGAAAGTTCGTAAACACAACCATACATCATTTCGGGTTTCGTTTTTTTTTGTTTTTTTTTGTTGCCTAGCTTATTAAATTTACCTATTATTTGAAAAAGAAAATTTTGTAACGGCTAAAATTCGAGAAATAGCCTTACAAATTTTCCCAACTTTCTACGTTATATACAGGCTAGGCCTAGCCTTAGGCAGGATAAACGCTTTTTTGCTGAGAGGCTGCTGACTGTGAAATTGGGTTTGTTTATGTTGTGTCAGTGTATACTGTACTGTTGTAAATTATGGATGTGCATTTCTCTTCTATGTGCCAACTTTGTTGTCTCTGTGGTTATAAGTTCAATAATTGTGATACAAAATGTAAAATCCTGAGTTTGAGACCTGAAATACTTGATTTCTATAATCTTAGCAATTCAATTAACAATATTCATCCTAAAAATATCTGTACTGCATGTGTATCAAAGGCGTATAAATTAAACACATAAACACATACAACTGGACAAACCACACGGATTCATTCTGTTTGTCATGCTATTTATTTACAAATCAAAACATCAGAGGATCAATAAAGAAAACCAATAAATTTAATAGAAACCAGAATGGCTCCTTTTCTGCGTCCACAAATTACACACCATCCTTGTCTAGCCAGTTCATATTAAATAAAGAACATGCAGCTAACACAATTTATGTGTGTACCATATGCAAAAATGTTATGTCTCTATCGATGTTGGAAACTAAATGTTGTCACACTTTCTGTGCACATTGTTTGTTTCAACTCTTTCGTACGCTTAAGTCTGATGTCATTCCATGTGTTAAGTGTTCTTGTCCTGTTAATCGTAACGATGTCGGACCACCATCGGAACTGAGTGAGCAATCACTCCTCTCTGTTCAACTGAGATGCCAGAAATGTTCCAGCACACTGTTATACAATAACTGTGAGGGCCACAAATGTTCATCAAAATATGAACAAAAAGTTGAGAAAATCAAAAAATCAGTAAATGAAATCAACTGTCAAATCAATGAAGTGATGCCAAATGAGCTGGAAAATTAGCTCATAAAGTGCTTCATAAATCACTCAAAAAGCAAAAAGAAATCAACATAATAACAAATGGCAGAGTAAGTAAATTTCAATCAATTTTTTGAATTAGTTACAGTAATATTACTGTAAATTTGTATAATTTATCAAATGCTGTAACGATTATAAAATCTGTAATGGCTTCCATCTGCCAACATATATTTGAACGATAAAATAAACTGTACTACAAGTGTCCAAGTGATAACAAATATTATACACAATGATATGTATTTTTCCTTTAGCCACTGAAAGTTGCTGTCATATCAAATGCAACGAAATCTAGTGACATTGTCAGCAAAAAGACTGTTTCAAGAAGGACAGCAGAAATTAAGGAAATTTGAAGAATTGTTTCTTGTGGAAGTAACGAAACGCAACTGGCTGCTGAAGGACTGCAGTCCATGCAGCGGAAACATCCAAGTGTTGACGTCTTGGCTGGCAACAGCTAAGGAAGATAAGAAGGTAAACAAAACAATGTATTAGAACATAAAATACATTGAACTAATATTTTTTGATTAGTCAATTATTGCTTTATTCAAAATTTTGATAATTTTCTGACAGGTATCTCGAGCCAGGGGCAATCTCTTCAGAGAGAAAAATACAGGACAGACAGCAGAATCTTACCCAAGATTTCATACAAAGCCAAATGATAAGCCTAGTATTCAAGTGTGAGACGGCAAATGGTCAAAAAGGCTATGAAGAAAGGATGGCCCCTGTTACAAAAATACGGGACATTCAACAGTTCGTATACATGAATCTAGAGAAACACTACAAGTAAGTTTTTATTACCCACTGGTTAATGATAAATATTACCCACTCTTTAATGATAAATACTCAAATTCCAAATTATCTTGTGATAATAAAAAAAAATTAAATTACTATATTTTTTAATCACAGATTGCAAAATTTGAGGCCAAACAATGGAGAGATATACATCAAATTTGGTGGTGACAAGGGCGGAGGCTCTACAAAATTCGAAATTCAAATATGCAGCATTGAGAAGCCGAACGCATTACATAATATTCTGGTTGTGCTATTATTTAATGCCCCAGATTACACGACAAATTTGGAACGAACACTTCCACTAGTAAGTCAAGAAATAACAGACTTACATGGACAAGTTTGGAGGTTTGGCCAATTTTTGTTTTTAATAACCATCCATAATTAAAATTCATACAGAGAGTATCATACTATTTAGAACTACTATAGTTACCTTTAACTAATTGATATTTGTTTTAATTTCTTTCATTCATCTAAGAGGTTACAAAATCAGGTTTTTCTTCTTCGGCGACTACGATTTCCTGATAAGGATCTATGGCCTCCAATCACCTAATGGTAAAAAAATAATTGTGATGTTAAATAAATAATTATTATAATTGTTTATTATTATGATAATCTAAAAATATACAATTTAACTTTCAGGACGATATGGTTGTTTGCTTTGTACAACTACCAAAGATGAGATGAACAAAGGCATCAGAAAGCAGCAAAGAACTATGAAGTCTCTGTCTGAGGACCTCAAAAATATTATTGCTGCTGGCTCTTGTAAAAAACCAAGCAAAGACGTCTCGAGAAATGTTGTGAGAAAGTCAATGGTCAACATTGATATAGACCATGTAAGCTTTTGACAAAAAAGTAAAATTATGATATTAAATGTGGTACTGTGCAATATATTCTAAAATAATATTAAACAATTTTTCACTTTTCTTTCATTAGGTTTCAATTCCATGCCTTCACATCTCTCTTGGAGTTTTTAAGAAACTGTATGACTTGCTAGAGCTCGAAGCCCATGACATAGATAGCATAATATATAAGCTCAGGTACAATAGTCAAGTACTCTATATTTAAATATATTTAATAATATTGTGTTACAGTAGAATCTGAATTTTTTTATGGTTTCTTTCCATATCTTTATAGACACACTAATCCATCAGTATCCATGAACAATTTTGAACTGGCTATTGCACAAAATGCTACGAAGGTTGAAACATGTAAAGAAAAGATACAGATTTTGCGTGAAGAAATCAACACCATAGAGGACAATATGACAATTGTCCAGCTAGCAAAATCTGCAACTTTAATATCTTCAAAGTGCCAGGCAATTAGAGAACTTGTAAGTATTTAATATAGCGTAACAATAAAAAAAAAAAGAAATGGCCATGTTAACTGCACATTACAGTAATTTAAAATTATATTTATGTATTAGGAACAAGCAACGGAAAGCGACACTTTAAAGTTTGGAATGGTGCCAATTGTTTCTGCAATGGACTCTGTTTTAAGGAAACATCAGGTTGACAGAAAAGCATATCATGGTAAAGCTTTTAATGGAAATCATGTCCATAAATGTTGCAAGGTAATTTTCAATATTTTATATTATTATGTAAGTATAATACATACTTCAAGTATTGAAATACACGCCATCGTGTATTTCAATGATTTTGCCATCGTCAATGATGATGACATAATGTTGAAATATTGAATCCCAACACGATGGCGTGTATTTGAATACTTGGAGTATGTATTATACTTTCTTATCTAAGATTAATCAGTGGACCTTTCGGTTTTATATTACTATCACTGGAGTACGATTTTATGTTACAGTATATTAGTGTATTTTTAAAAATTATTACTGTTTATTACAGTATGTCAATATATTATTTGAACTCGCAAACTATAAACCTAATTAATTTTATTTAGACAAGACAATTTCATAAATTTTTTTCCTGCAGATAAATATAATATCCCAGTTGCTGGAATCATGCGAAAAAACACTAGATGAGCAGGCAATGGAAATTCCAATCAAGCATGCAAAAGAGTTGTCATATAAAGCCAATATGATGGCATCCAAATTCGTTCCACTTTTCACAAAGTTTTCAACAGTGGAACAAAAAATCAATCATACTCGTCCAATCTCAGATAAGGAGATACAAGAAATTGGTGGGTATATTTTCCTTGCAACATTTATAAATGTTTTTAAAAAATATAAATAGAATATTCAATATATATAAAAACCCGAGTTATTTATCTTATCCCTATCACTTTTACTTTTTTTGTTTCCTGGATAGATGACAACATCAATTATTTCATTGGAGAATACCGACAACACGGCCACAGCATTTCGCCTAAACTGCATATGCTTGAAATGCATGTTGTACCTACCCTTAAGAGATGGCACATTGGATTAGGTCTTCTAAGCGAGCAAGGTGGTGAGCAAATCCACGCTGCCTTCAACAAGCAAGCAAGGAATGTTTACGGTGTACAATCTGAAATGAGACAAAAGGAGTCCATTCTTAAAAACCATATAATATTAACATCCCCCGAGATACATGACAAGATAGTAACACCCAGAAAAAGAAAATATTGTAGTATATTTTGATCATATTCAATTTAAATTGTAAATTTTCAGAAATTTAGACCACTAATTTTGATATTATATAATAATGCCACAATTGTTTTATCTTCATCAGGTAATGAAGAATGAAGAATCTGGGACCATACTGCAGTAAAATCAAAATCCTTAAATAATTTCTTACAGACAATTGAACTGCACAGACTACTGAAAATACAGAAGTATATTATTATCATGGTGTAAAAGGAAACACAGTATTTAAAACGTCATTAACATTGTACACACAAGCAGCGTTGTGCTTGTGCTTGAATAATTTTTCGACAGGCCAATTGTATGTAATGTATTTAAATTTTGTACAAACAATAATACTATATATTAACGCTGTACAGAAAACCGTAGGCCAACTGTACGCATTTAAATTTTGTACAAACAATAATATATGGCCTACTGTATGTTAGAAAATTTAAATATGGACCGTATCATATGAGTTGATTTCAAAATATTTCAATATGATGTACTTCGTAAAACTATTAAACAAATATTAGAAAAAATTTGTATGGACAATGAAATACTGTAATGTAAATATGGAGTGTATACGAGTTGAATTTCATTGATAAATTCAAAATTAAATACTCTGTTCCATAATTGTTCCATTAGTTATTAATGCAATGAATAATGTTATTGTTGTTATTAATGTTATGAAAACCGTAATAGCTATTCCTGATAAATAAATATTGTATGTTAACCCTCTAGATACCGTCTTCGACTGTAGTCGAAATTGACCTCAAACCGAGAATTCCCATTTTCGACTGCAATCGAAATTTAGTGACTAAAAAATAGGTGGTTTTCAAATCGCTCTTCTGTTTTTATTTTAGCTCCAATACGTCAGAAATTTTGAACACGCATGCGTGAAGCTTTTGTCATTCAAAATCTGTGAAGAACTCACATGCGCTTATATAAATATTTTTAGAAATATCAATTTGAAATCGTTATTAATTTCAAAAATTTTTCGAAATGGCCGCACAAGCGTGTACACAGCTGAGCAAGTGATTTACCTGATTTTTGATTCAGACAGCGATGAAGGTGAATTTTTAGATGTGCGAGACTTAGACGTGCCTGATAGCGATGATGACTTCAAGCGATGATGGGGCTTCAAGCAGTTCTGACGGTGTCTCTTATACACATCTAGATGTGTATAAGAGACAGGTTCTGTGTAGGTATATGATGTGCTACAGTGTTTCAATAATATTCATATAAACGTTCAGATTTTTGCCATAAACTTCTTTCAACCCTGTGTTTACTGTTGTGTAGTTAAATGTATATACCCAGTGAGTGATCAGAGATAGTGAAAGTACTGATGGGATGCAACTGGCTGAACTGAGGTATATTAAAAATTTATTTGTTTCACCTTATTGGAATCATCAATTGCTTTACTTTTATTCATCATTTGGGTAATTGCGTATCATTTGGGTAATTCGTCGGACCCCCATTGACTTAGTTAGGCCTATGCCTTAGGCGCATGCCTTGGCCTAGGAATAGGCCTAGCTAGTCTAAAAAATATATTTAAAAATTGAATTAGTAAATTGTGAAACAATAAAAACGAATATATGTATCATTTGAGGCCTAGGCCTATGTAGATTATTTTTAAACGCCTATGTGTTATGCGCGCATACCTGCTTAGGCCTACGTCGATGCCGAAAGAGCTAAGAAAACCTCATGAGCGATCACTTCCTAGGCGTGCATATGGCGCTAGGCCTCCTACATTGCGTAACACGTGCTCCACTGTCGCCTAAACGGGAAGGTTACAATAACCGTCATTGAAAAAAAAATAGCCATTACAAAAAATTTTTATTCTGCAAACTTGTTCTTTAACTATCAATCAATTTATAAATACAACATATGTGATGATAAATGATGGATAACACTATCTACAAATTTAGTTAAAAAACCTAAAAATTTGAACTAAAAAAACATGAAAATTACACACTTACGTCTATCGGCTTCCACATCGACTTCCATGAAGTATTTTTCTGAACGAAAGGTTCCAGGCTCCTCCCTCGTGACCAAATTAAGGGTCGATTATGAATATTCAGATAATCTTTCTAGTTATCTCAGTAATTAACAATATTGAATATTCAGACGTGGTGACGTGAATCCAAGTGGGTTTTAAATATAGCGCGCCCTCTATAGTTTTTTCTTGCCTTTATTTCGGACTTTTTTTCCACAGTGAAGATACCGTGATCAACAATTATTCAAACTTATTTTACCTATTAATAGAATGAATAAATAAATTATATTTCCAATAACTATCACAACATTCACAATCGATAAATCATTAAACCCCATATAAACACATAAAAATAACAAACAGTTATATAACACTGCATCCGCTCGAAAAAAAAATCCGCTCGAATTCGCTCGAATTGGCCTTCGCTCGAAGTGGCATCCGCTCGAATTGACTGATTCCTAGGCTGGGACATGAAAGGTTGTTGTTTGTTGTTATTTCGCAATTCGCGACGTCATCAACGATTACAATACATTCAATCCCGTAACATGATTGGTCTATTTTTTTCTAATTTGCATAATGATTTTTTTTAAATATTTTTGCCTATTTAAAAAAAAGTGTGTAAGTTATGGAGATGGTAACAATCATAAATCGATTATAAATTTAATTATATATTTTGAGACAAAAAACCCTCTTGGCCCACGGCCCATTTTTTTTTACACCATGACCATGCGTAATATTAACTTGTAGTGTATATATACGAAGAATTTTTTTATAGTAGATTGACTAACAGGTACTTGGTGTGGTACTAGGTTTATTGCATTTATGGCTTAGAGGCCGCGGTTTACCTCCCTCCGTTTAGTCATACTGGATCAGGGGTAGTTAACTCAGCGATCGTGGGTTCGATTCCCACACGGGGCAAGTTTTTTTTTTATTTATTTATTTTTTTAAGGTCGTGGGTTCGATTCCCACACGAGCCAGGTTTTTTTAAAATGTTTTTTAAGGCAGTTTAGTTGATGGTGGATAATGATAGCAAACCTGGAGGTTGTGGGTTCGATTCGCTAGAGGTGTAAAAATGCAGCTTCTACGCGGTGGGCGGTCAGCATAGCACCAATCGAAAAGTGAAAAATGACGGTGACTTTTTCAAGCAATACAATTGAAACAAATACTAAATCAATCAGAAAATACATTTAGGCCCCCTAATTGATTCTCCTGACAAAAATCCAAAATATCATATTTTGTTATATTGTATTTAAGCCTTTCCTTTATATTGTATGCTTTGTAAATTTGATATACTATATTTTTTTGTTTTCTTTTTTATCATGGCAATGATGAAAAACATGTAGGTTGTTGAGTTATGTTTTCGTGAATAAATAAAGCTTTATTACTACTACGGACAAAATAACACATTGAACATGTGACAGAAGATTGCCTTTAATTAGTTCGTAGCTGTGGCATTTTGAATTTTATACTGTATTTGTTTTTGGAAACATGTCGCAATGACTCAGAAGGCCTCCCAAGTCTACTTAAAATACAATCTTGAAGGCCAATTTCCCTTTTCCAAAATAAAATATAATTTTCCCACAAAATCTATAATTTTTCTTCTGAATTAAAAACTGAGAATATTTGTAATTAGTGTAAGATCTGTCTCTTATACACATCTAGATGTGTATAAGAGACAGTAATGGTAGTGTATGCGTGTCCTGAACCGGGAAGACCTGAGGAAAGATTATATAGTATTTAAGAAAATATCCAAGCATTCAGTGTGTAATTTTGGACTCCCGCCTAATGGGTCTTTCACCCAGAAATAATATAAAAACTTTAAGTCGATTCGAGTGGCCAAGCTGTAAGGCACCGCACTACTACAGCCTTAAAATCGATGCTTGTTAGCCCTCCTCACCCAGGGTTCGGCTGGTAGAATCAAGTCTTCACAGATAAGTACATAAAATTGAGGTCCAGTGTTACACCTGTCTCTTATACACATCTCATACACACTACACACAATAAAAAACATAGGAAATAGCAAGAGTGATTACAATAGCTCCTATTGCATTACATGCATAGGAACTAAAAATCCACTAGAACGACGTATACTCAAAAAATGCAAAAAACCTTGTTACACTGCAAAAGAATCCGGTATTCAAGGGTTTGCACTACAAAAGAATCCGGTATCCAGAGGGTTAAAAATAAGAATGTAATTTATGTCCGAAAATATGCAAATGACGTTAGAAACAGACTGATTTATAAAATAACACATACTACATTAATAAAACCAATAAAACAAAAATATTATTAGTAATTACCAGAATAAATTATTAATACATATATGAAAAATACTGTATCATTATTATTATTATTATTATTAATAGTAGTAGTAGTAGTAGTAGTAGTTAGAGTAGTAGTAGTAGTAATTACGAATGATAGTAGTTAGAGTAGTAGTAGTAATTACGAATAATTGACAAATAAATACTGTAAAGTGTATGTTAAAAATACAAAAGGTTTCAAAGTTGATTACATACATTTGGATAATTAATATCATTTGGCTAATTGTGTATTGTTTGGGTATCATTTGGGTAATTGCGTATCATTTGGGTAATTCGTCGGACCCCCATTGACTTAGTTAGGCCTATGCCTTAGGCGCATGCCTTGGCCTAGGAATAGGCCTAGCTAGTCTAAAAAATATATTTAAAAATTGAATTAGTAAATTGTGAAACAATAAAAACGAATATATGTATCATTTGAGGCCTAGGCCTATGTAGATTATTTTTAAACGCCTATGTGTTATGCGCGCCTACCTGCTTAGGCCTACGTCGATGCCAAAAGAGCTAAGAAAACCTCATGAGCGATCACTTCCTAGGCGTGCATATGGCGCTAAGCCTCATACAATGCGCAACACGTGCTCCACTGTCGCCTAAACGGGAAGGTTACAATAACCGTCATTGAAAAAAATAGCCGTTACAAAATTTTTTTATTTTGCAAACTTGTTCTTTAACTATCAATCAATTTATAAATACAACATATGTGATGATAAATGATGGATAACACTATCTAAAAATTTAGTAAAAAAACCTAAAAATTTGAACTAAAAAAAACATGAAAATTACACACTTACGTCTATCGGCTTCCACATCGACTTCCATGAAGTATTTTTCTGAACGAAAGGTTCCAGGCTCCTCCCTCGTGACCAAATTAAGGGTCGATCATGAATATTTAGATAATCTTTCTAGTTATCTCAGTATTAATGGATAATTAACAATATTGAACATTCAGACGTGGTGACGTGAATCCAAGTGGGTTTTAAATATAGCGCGCCCTCTATAGTCTTTTCTTGCCTTTATTTCGGACTTTTTGTCCACAGTGAAGATACCGTGATCAATAATTATTCAACCTTATTTTACCTATTAATAGAATGAATAAATAAATTATATTTCCAATAACTATCACAACCTTCACAATCGATAAATCATTAAACCCCATATAAACACATGAAAATAACAAACAGTTATATACAACTGCATCCGCTCGAAAAAAAAATCCGCTCGAATTGGACTTCGCTCGTAGTGGCATCTGCTCGAATTGACTGATTCCTAGGCTGGGACATGAAAGGTTGTTGTTTGTTGTTATTTCGCAATTCGCGACGTCATCAACGAGTACAATACATTCAATCCCGTAACATGATTGGTATATTTTTTTCTAATTTGCATAATGATTTTTCCAAAATTTTTGTCTATTTAAAAAAAAGTGTGTAAGTTATGGAGATGGTAACATAATCATAAATCGATTATAAATTTAATTATATATTTTTAGACAAAAAATAAACCCTCTTGGCCCACGGCCCATTTTTTTTTACACCATGACCATGCGTAATATTAACTTGTAGTGTATATATACGAAGAATTTTTTTATAGTAGGTTGACTAACAGGTACTTGGTGTGGTACTAGGTTTATTGCAATTATGGCTTAGGGGCCGCGGTTTACCTCCCTCCGTTTAGTCATGCTGGATCAGGGGTAGTAAACTCAGCGATCGTGGGTTCGATTCCCACACGGGGCAAGTATTTTTTTTATTTTTATTTTTTTTAAGGTCGTGGGTTCGATTCCCACACGAGCCAGGTTTTTTTTAAATTTTTTTTTAAGGCAGTTATTTGATGGTGGATAATGATAGCAAACCCGGAGGTTGTGGGTTCGATTCCCACACGAACCCATTTTTTTTAAAGGGTGAAGGTGGATAATGAATAGCAAACCTGGTGGTTGTGTGTTCAATTCCCACACGAACCAATTTTTTTTAAATTTTTTTAAGGCAGTTTAGTTGATGGTGGATAATAAATAGCAAACCTGGATGTTGTGTGTTCGATTAACACACGAAAGTCGCTAGAGGTGTAAAAATGCAGCCTCTACGGGGTGGGCGGTCAGCATAGCACCAATCGAAAAGTGAAAAATGACGGTGACTTTTTGAAGCAATACAATTGAAACAGATACTAAAGCAATCAGAAAATACATATAGGCTCCCTAATTGATTCTCCTGACGCAAATCCAAAATATCATATTTTGTTATATTGTATTTAAGCCTTTCCTTTATATTGCATGCTTTGTAAATTTGATATACTATATTTTTTTGTTTTCTTTTTTATCATGGCAATGAGTTGTTGAGTTATGTTTTCGTGAATAAATAAAGCTTTATTACTACTACGGACAAAATAACACATTGAACATGTGACAGAAGATTGCCTTTAATTAGTTCGTAGTTCGTAGTGGCATTTTGAATTTTATACTGTATTTGTTATTGGAAATATGTCGCAATGACTCAGCAGGCCTCCCAAGTCTACCTAAAATCCAATCTTGAAGGCCAATTTTCCTCTTCCAAAATAAAA